GCCATGCTGGAGAAATTTGCTTGCAACAGGATTAATGACATTCTCTTCAGCCTGGAACATTTTATTAAAATGGGTGAGAAGAAGATGAGTGGTAAAAGAAGGGTATGTGTGATGCACATACTTAACAGGGGTTAAATCTCTGTAGGAAGAACTAGGAGACAAAAAACTTTGGCCTTCACATTGCTGCTGGCATATTTTTTTTTAAGCAGACAAATGGAGAAAACAAGCTGTGAAATGTGAACAAACAGCACCCACTGACCTTGCTTTGTGTCTGCTAGTTGTGCAGTTTCTGGAGTGATAATATGCAGATATGCAAATACAAACTCTCCTGTTGTTTCATCTCCTGGTTTCTGAAAGAGCAAAGTAGCCAGTGTGATCTCCTTGTGAAGGTAGACAGGAAAAGACCAGGTGCAATAGCATAAGAAATTATCCTACTGTTTTAATAAGTGTTTAATAGGAGAGAAAAGGACATATTGCTTAGTAACAAAGCCTGTGAGGCTCATAGGTCAGTGAAGAGATCTTGTTCTTTCTATTTATTAATGGAATTTTTTTCTAATTTGTCTTTTCCAGGAGCTGATCCAGCTCAAACAGGTTGTAAATCTGCAGCATATCTTCACTTTGGAGAGGTCCCAGTGACTGAAATTTGAGCTGAGGTGAGACACTTGGCTACTATTTATGCCAAACAAGCTGTCCTGTGAGCTCTGCCTTTTTCTGGAAAGTCACAGTGAATGGAGTGGGTGAGATGGCTTTTCTGTAGAAACTGCCCAGAAATACTCAACTATCCTTCTCTGTGCTGGTCCCTGTTATTTCCAACACTGCTGTGTAAACATTAGCAGTTTGCTAGAGCAGAGTGTGCCTGGCTGTGCTGGCAGGATGGAGTGGTGTGAAAAGCAAGAAAAATGAAAGTGAGGGCAAATACCTGAGGCAGAAGGACAAGATCTGAGAAATGCATTTGAAGGCTTCATAGAGATTTTGAGGAGGTAGCTCATCTTTCAAGAACATATCCTGAGGTTCTCTGCAAGCTGAGTGGGTTTTCCAGTTTGTGAAATGATTTATAAGATCTTCTAAAAAAAAAATCTTTCCTAAAGCAAATAAACCTGGAAGAAATTGTTTTCCCTGCTCCCTGTTTTCTTCCAACTGTACAACAGTTCTTTAGCCACTGAGGACAGCTCTTTTCTTCTCTGTCCCCAGGTCCAGAACTGCAACCTTGTGCTGTCCCATGTATGTTTGACATCTCCACTCTGTGCCATAAATCCTCACTCCAGCTGTCACATGAAACTGGAGGCTGTAGAGGAGCTGACAGGAATGATACGTGAAAGTGATGGATGTTTAGGATGATGTGTATTGTTTCCTGTGGTAGAAGGTGGCTTTCCTGGCTTATGTGAGGAACTCTGAGGCCTCTCTCAGCAGTATTAATGCAATCAATGCATTATAGGAGGAGCAGCTGTTTTTGATCTCAAGTGGTATTTCTCAATCCCTTTTAATTCAACCCCCATGGAACATTTTCTGGGGAGAAGGACCTCCCTGGATATCAGTACTGTAGTGTACAAGAATGACATAATTGGAACAATAAATAAAAATTATGTATTTTGTCCTTTTTTTTTTTCTTGCTTAAGTTTGGGATGTGTCCATGCCCTGCAGTTACTTCTTGTACAATCAACTGAAGAACTCGTAACTGAAGGACTGCATTTTATTTGCCAGTATAAACTGCTAATCTTTTGCATATTAATTTGTTATATCAATGGCTGCTACCCAACTTACCCTTTGATCCATACATAATTGTCAAATGCTGAAAGATGCTGAGTGTGCTTCCATCTTTCTTGAAAGTCACACTAGCTGAGTTGCTACATGTGCTGGAAGTTTTTTGCTGAAGGCAGGTGCTGGATGGCAGAGCCATAAAGCAGCACTGTCTGAGAGCTTTCTTTCACAGGAGATTCGAATCAATGTGAGGGGCATTGATGAGAAGTGTCCCTCCCTCAGGCAACTGGCAGAAAACCAACAAAGAACCACCACAGAGACAGATGCTGAGAGAGAAGGCAGATTAACAGGGCTTGTTGGGGCATAGTCCTGGCTGGAAGATCAACTGTGAAGGGAATTTCTTGCCACACACAGTGTGTGACCCTCAGTCTCCCTGTTCTCTTCGTATTAGTACCTCACAGTGCAAGTCCTCATCATTCAGCATTCCTTGGAAGCAAGAAGAAAAGGCTTCCCTGAACAGGGGAGAAAGGCATGAGTCAGACTGCTGGCCACTGCACTTTATACATGGCTTATTGTCACGTTGCTCCTTTAGCACAACAGGTGTCCTGCTAGCAACACAATGCAGTTAGTGCAATCCTTCAGAAAGAAGGTTGCTGTCCCTGCCACCCTGCTGGGGATGGAGGGTTATTCAGCTTCTATGCTACTGCTTGATTGTTTTTCATTTAAGATATATAAAATCAAATACCTAAATGTCACCTAAATCTTTCTCCCAAGTATTTTTGGAGGCTTATTTAGTTTGCTAAGTCAACCTCTCAAACATGAAATGTTACAGAAAATAGCCCTGTTTGAGAAAAAAGCTGTGAGGAATGATGGTCTAATTGAAGACTCTGAACTGACAATCACAATTTCAGGTTTGGTCTTCTGGTTACAAGTCATCCTGATCCTCTGTCACCCATGTGGCTGCTTTATCTCAGGTTTCCCTTGGTTTCTACCTCCTTTTGCTCGAGTTCAGTTTGCCTCATCCTAATTAAAGGCTTTGAAGAGCTGTAAATATCTGACTACAAAGGTTTTACAATGGGAAGTGTAAGATGGAGATAAGTAATTGGGTTGGTACAGCTTCAATTATCTGCACTAATGTGGGATAATGTATTGCTACAAGTTGAATGTAGTAATTGGATTACATTATTGAGTCACATTGATTCTGCCTTTCATGTTTTGCATTTAAATTCCGACCAGGTAAATTTAGGGGCATTAATATTTGTCTGATTAACAATTCTGCTCCATTACACATTTTAAATATAAAGAATTCTGTAGTGCTGTGTAATTTCTTGCCTTCATGTGTAGGAATAGGTATCTTTGCCTTGACAGATCTACAGTGTAGGTAATAGTGATAAAGCACCCTGAGATGCTCGGCAGAGTGTGAACTAAAGAAGGGAAATTATTGCTTATTTTTAGTATTGTATGTAGTACATTGGAGTTACAGGTCAGTATTTATACTGGTATAGAATAATTCACATTGTTAGCTCCTGGATGTCCTCATTTTGAATGCAGAAATTCTTTAAAGACAAAGACATGCTGGGTGTCATATCAGTCTTTTGCAACCTCTGTTAGCTTGTTTATTCACCATTGTACATAATTGCAATCTTTGCCTTTCTTTGTCTCCAAGTCTTTTATTTTCAAAGCTGCTTCTCATTTTGCAACCACTGGTACACATACCTGCATCTTTTAAAAATTGTGATTCTTCTCCACGTTGTTACTCCCTTTGAGCTTTATCTTGCATATTGCTTTTCTGGAAGCTGTGAGGTTTTTTATGACTGTGTTGTTGGGGTCAGAGGGCCACATTTCTGCCTATGTTGTTCTGGACACATATCTACCAATCTTGTTATCTGCAGTCAATCTGGTGCAGAAAGTGCAAATGGTGCAGAATTGAAACACTTGTGGTGTTCCCTGCTGCATAAGTTGGATCTAACCATCCTAAGATCTATCTCAAATATTATTGTCATTTTTTGTGGTGAAAAGATGTAGCTATGTCAGGTCAGTCGCTGGAGCTGGGGCTTTCAGTGGAGAATGACTCTGCAATATGTCTGTTCTGAACACAAAGACAGATTGACCAGGTAATTTCAGAGTGCTGGGACCTTACAGGTCTTTTCCAACCAGAAGTTTTTGTGACCTGAGTGGATGAGGAGTTAAAAGCATAGCAATGCATTGTGCAGTTTCCACTGCTAAATGTTATGTATTTGAAGCCTCACTCAAAGCTACTTGGCTGCTACTTTGTTCTCAAATAACATCTTATCAAATGTGGTACAGTTTGTTCTTAGTATTTATGTCCCAGCAATGAATTGAAACATTTGCTTGCTCAGGGGTATCAGGACCATGCTTGTTTGATTGTCAAATCACCTGCACAGCTTTACTTTTGCAAGTGTTGGAGTAATCTTTCCAAAACTGACTTCACAGTGTGCTTTTGTGTTCACTAAAAATTGTAACAAGACTTTGGCTTCCTGTTAGCCTTTATTAAATCTTTCCCTTCTTGCCTTCTGAGCCCAGTCTTGGGTTACTATCATTTAGGAAGGCTGAGTTTTCTGTCAAAAATATAAACCCAGCAAATAATTCTGATAGTGTGTCCAGAAGATCCATCAGACAGGAATGGATCCATGCCAACACAAGTTTCCTCAGCTTGGTTTGGTTTCCACTATAGCTAATCCAGTGACATCAGGCACTGGTAACTATTCATGCATATGGATTTCAGATGGTTGGAAAATTCTCAAAACACTGAAACAGGAAGGATGATGGTAACATCTGGTAGGACATACAGATAGCTGGCTCATTTGGCTTCATCCTGCTTCTGACACTGGTGATTTGAATCTGATTCATGTTCTGTAGGAGGTGAATTCATTTGCTGATGTCAAAATACTGCACCAAGTATGAAATGTCTAAAACTAAGCAACAGAATATTGACCGAACAGATATGAGATAAATATGATCAGTTTTTGTCCATTCGTGAAATGTATGTACTTCAGCATTCCTTCTGACTTCAGCTGTCTGCACAGAACTAATTTTCTCCCAATTTTTTCAAAATTTTAAACTTGATATTTTGGTTTGAGTAAATGAGTTTTTCTGATTTGATGTTTTGCTGATCTCAGGCTCACAGTGGGCAGTTGTACTTGACTTGCATTGATTTTAGGAAGACTGTGGAGCCCACCTCAGCCCGTTTCCCACTCATACTGCCCAGCATGTCTTGTTGGTTTTGCACAGATGAGGTGGTAAAACTCCCACCTTTTCCATGCTGTCATCAGGGTATAGTGATGGCACGTAGGTACCTACAACAGCTGCAAAGCTTGGCCAAATGAAGGAGGTGGACTGATACCACCAAGTCATGTTACCTTCTTGGCATTGCCAGGTTTGCAAAATCCTGCATTTATGAATGTGTTGGAGGGCAGGGTAACATCTTGCTTAGACTTGTACTTCATTTTTAGTGAGGAAACTTTCTCTGTGCAAAACAGGGTAGGATCCTCTAGTATCTGACACACAGAGCTCTCCCCCTTCTGTGTTTCAAACTGAGTATGAATCCCATCCTTACCAGAGAACAGATTTTCTGTGTCTTGTTGTCCTGGTTTGAGCCAGGATGAAACTTATTGATAAATGGTAATAATAGACAGGATGCTAAAAGTGATTTATAAAATGTAGAAAATAAAGGCAAATTCTTCAATTACATTCCATACTAAAAAAATAAAATAATTACAATTGGAATTTTATATTACTTTTTATATGTAACAAGTGTTGATATTCTGGGGTTTTATTATTTAATTGTACTGTGAGTTTTTAAGCATTCTCTCCATGTCATGAATCCTCATTTGATGAAGCTTTCCAGTAAATGGAAAAAATAAAAGTGTTTGAACACTCGAGGACAATTTTTCAGAAACTACATGGAACAATGTTGTGAGCTGTGTGTACAGGCAGGTAAATCCGAACTTAAAACCACATTTCATTATAAGTTAAATTATGCTTGAGACTAAAGCACCTGGAAAATCTAACCTATTGTAACCAATGTGCAACACTCCTAATGTGAATTCAGTGATTCTGGGTTGAACAACTTTTAAAGTTCCCACAGTGGATGAAGCTGAATTCCACTCATCTCATGTCCAGTGGTCAGCAAGTGCTCTCACCCAGTGTCAATCCAGTCCAGGTATCCCAGTTCACACCAGCAGTTCCCTAACACATACTTCTTTCTCCAGGACAAATACCTGGAGTAGACGTGATTGCATTTTCTCATACTGTAGCTTGCTGCATCCAGCCAGGTGTGCTTTTGGTCAGGGATTAGCTCAATCTGTCTCAGCATGGTAAACGTAGGAGGTGCAGAGAAATAGCAGGCAGTGGCAAAGAGGGAAGGATGAGGGGGAGGGAAAGGAACCAAGACTTTACAGAACCTTCAGTCTACAGAGAGAAGTGGTGGAACAAGAAGGAGCATCACTTTTTCCAAGCTCCAGTACCTGCTTTTTTATAGACAAACTGATAAATCAGCTCTGAAATGCTGATACTAAGTCAAGGTTTGGTAGTCCTGATCATTTTTCTGTTAATTGTTGCGTTTTTCAGACTGCGAAAGGCATGCAAGCAATTCCCTCCTGGACCAACTCCTCTCCCATTGGTTGGAAACTTCGTGCACCTGAACTTCCAGTTTCATCGGGATCTTCTGATGAAGGTATCTCTTTAAAAATGCTCTTAATTGGTTCATTTTAGTCACAGTATAAATAAAATGGATACTTTAATAGCAAAGTGAAGTTTTTAAGTCTTAGAGAGTGACAGACAAAGTATGGACATATGAAGATCAACTTGATTCCTAGATTCAGGTTACCTTATGTGGAATATGTAATCTTGTGAGAAACTTACTGTCTTTTAAGAATCAAATAAATTTGGGAACAGAGTTTCTGACTTGTTATTAAAGTCTAAGAATAACAACAATTGAAAATATGCTTCTCCATTGCTGCTAAGTCCATACGTGTTACTTTTTAAAATTCTGGTGCATTAGCACTGTTTCATTGGATCACACAGTGGGTAATATGATGCTCGTGTATGTCTGCTTGTAATATAAAAAGGTCATCTTCTTTTCAGTGCCTCCCTCTACCCTGGCAGTAATTCTTTTAGTGGTTTCCAGGTGAACTCTAACTCAGACCTGTGCTAAGACAGTTGGCAGAGGTCACTGAGTGCAGTGCAGACCCTGACAGGCAGTGATGCTGTAACAGGGAGAGGAATGTTATAAGGAGAAGCAGTTGACTAGTGTGATCAATTTGGTGTAATTCTGCTGGCACCTTAGACGGTGTCTAAGGCCTGTTTTGTGTCATTGTAGGTGTGTTGGAGCAGAGTCCTATTCTTGGAAAAAGCTTTTTGATTGAATTTCATCTGTCGTACACCTGTCCCTCCTTGGATACTTCTGCTGTCTCCAACAGCCAGTGGTCTCCTCAGTACTGTGAGGAAACCCTGGAGACAGCTGCAGCTCACTGGCACTTCATGGCTGTTGAGTAGTTTCTGTCTCTGCATCCTCTCCTGGAGCACACAGATGGAGTGGGTTCAATCAGTGGGTTTCCTTTGGCAAAGGAAGGGCTAGCGGGAGGCATAGAGCTCCAGAGGGGGGCAGGGTGGGGCTGTTCAGTTAGCAAAGTGCAGATGTTTGGGTTAGATGTGATGCAGTGTGAAATTTTTCTTCCTTTTGCTGCAGTGTTGCTGCAGGCTGTGCTTTGAAAAGAAAATCACTTTCCCCTGGGTAAATACAATTGGCTGCTGAAAGCCTTGTTCTCAGATAAACAAGTGTGTCTACTTCTAACTGTAATTATATTTATGGGGATGATGTTCTCAGTACACAACTGGCTGTTGGGCCACTGCATAGCAACTGCAGTGCCTGTTTGAGATGTGTGGGCTTTTATCTGCTCCTTTCTGGCACTTTTTCCACTTAGAGTTGGCAGAAACTTATGGTAACATCTATACTTTGTGGTTCTCGTGGCACCCAGTGATCATACTGAATGGGTACCAGGCTGTGAAGGATGGCATGACCACATGCCCTGAAGATGTTTCTGGGTGGATGGTGGCTCCTTTCTTCAGAGCTATGGGCAAAGGAAAAGGTGAGATTTTCCTCCCAGGCAACTAGTGACAAGACGAGAGGGCATGGCCTGACGTTGTGCCAGGGGAGGTTTGGTTGGATATTAGGAAGCACTTCCTCATGGGGAGGGTGATTAGACATTGGAATGGACTTCCTAGGGATGTGGTGGAGGCACCATCTCTGGATGGCTTCAAAGAAAGACTGGAGGTGGCACTTCATGCCATGATCTAGCCAATGTGGTGGTGTTAGGTCATAGGCTGGACTTGATGATCTCAGAAGTCTTTTCCAGCCTTGGTGATTCTGTGATTATTCACCAAACATTTAATAGTGGCTGCAAACACAGTAATGAGGGTGAGCAGGAGGGTGTTATGGGTCTCTTGCTCATGATGGAAGGTATTTGGCAACCATAACATACACTGTTGGCAAACACATAAAGAAGGTTTGCAGTCATGTGATCTACAAGGAAATCACATGCAGCAAATTATTCTGTGAGGAGGCCAAGATCTCATCTATCTGGAACACAGTAAAAATGTCACCTAGAAACATCCCGAGCTGGAGTGTTGCCCAGGCTTGGGAAAGCTCAGTACAAAAGGCATCATGGCAAGTGATCAGCCCCCACCTGACTACAACCTCCCTCCAGGTAGTTGAAGATAGAGATAAGGTCCTCCCTGAGTGTCCTTTTCTCCAGGCTTTGATTGTGAGAGTGCCTCTGACACACAGAAATCCACCTTCCTTAACGTATTTCAGCAGTTTGCAGTCTTTTCTTTATCCTCACCTGCATTTGATCTGTGAAAGCAAATGCAGGTCGTTTAAAGCCAGACAAAGCATCACTAGCACAGCAGCACTTTAGGGCTCTTCAAGTAACCACTAGTGCATTTTGTCAGTGGAGTGATCTCCCTTCCAGAGAGCAAACAGAGCCCAAATGTCACTGATTGTTCATTTTCATCACCTTGTCCCACAAGCATCACATTAATTGATCTGTATCTTTTCTTGAGCATGATGACTTCAGTATAGCTAAAGCACATCTTCTGAAAAGGCATCTTAAGGTGTTTTGGTTTTTTTAAGACATCAAGAAATGGAGCACTCAGCAAATCCTTAAATTGCTATTTTAAAAGGTTAACTACAATCAATATTAAGAACATGTGATCTAGTCATAACATGGGTCTCTTTGGCTATGATTCTGGTTACTGCTAATTTCACCTAAAGATGCTTATGTCCCAGTGTATTTCCTTATTTACTCCATGTATTTTATAATATATTTTTAAATTAATTGTTCATGTCTATGGCAAATATTAATATGCTAGAGAACACCCTCAGGTATTATACTGGCAAATGGTCACTCCTGGAAGCAGCAGAGACGCTTTGGGATAATGACTCTATGCAATCTGGGAATGGGGAAAAAAAGCCTGGAGTATCAAGAGCAAGAGGAAGCCTCTCACCTGGTGGAGGTCTTCATGAACCTGAAAGGTATCTATCTGCTAAGAAATCTTACACTTTTCTGTCCTGGATTCATATCTTCAGTATGCAAACTTAGGTACCTCATTCTAGGTAGTTGCAGAGCAGTGTATCCAAATTTACCAAAACCCAAAGACCAGATAAAGTGTAATATCACAAGTGGGAATGTCTTTTTTAAAAAGCTGTTCATGAACCTAATGAAGTTGAGAACTTCTAAAATTCTACTTTCATGGGCTTACTGTCTGTCTATAATACAGTTGTACAATGTAACAATGTCCTTGAACTGCGAAGTCCAGCCATCCTCAGTAGGTCACTGAAGAGCACTGCAGATCTCAGTCATTTCTCCAAACCTTTACATTTCAATTACATTAGGTGCCATGAGATAAACTGGATCGTTTAAGGTCTGTCTGTCCAAGGAACTATTGGCAAGAGAATCAAAGAAAGTAGGAGGTGGGAGGGAACTTAAGTAAATTATCAGATTCATCTTAGAGTACAAGCCAGGTTCATTTCTATCCAAACCATTTTTGATGGATGTTTTTCTCCTAATTTTACACAAATTATCAGACAGAGATCTGGTGATCTGCTGTTCACAGCTGAGACTGTAATTTTATTATGTAAACTTTGCAGTTTTCATCCATCTATTCTGTTTCTTAAACCTTCCGAAGTTCCTTCAGTCTTTCCTCCTAAGTAGTTTTTTACATTTTTGAACGTTGGTCACTCTCTCCTCTTCATTTATCTCTAGTGACATTTTCTCCTTACTTCTGACTGGTCTTCTTCCACACATCTAAGAACAGCAAATTTTATAGGATATTCTCTGACGGATCTTGGCTGTACAGCATTGTTTCATGGAAAGGGCTATGGAATTGTTTTAGAGGTATGAGGAAAAAGTTTTAAGAGAGTCCTTTGCTCTGAGACTATGTTTGTTTCTCAGGAATTGTTATTAATGCCACATCTCTATCCCCCTTTGTGCCCCAGCTGGATAAAGAAAATATTTGATGTACTCTCTAATACATCTTGTCCTATCTGTACAAGGAACACCTGAAGAAAACATTGAGAATGAAAACTATTTACTGTGTTTGCAGGAAGACCCCGTGGATCCTTCTTTCGCTCTTTTCCATTCTATTTCAAATGTAATTTGTGCACTGTTTTTTGGATATTACTTATCTGATGAGGACAAAACCTTTCATGAACTGATCAGTGCCACAGAGTATTTATTCAGATTTGTAGGTAGCTTTATTCATCAGGTGAGTAAATAATATGCTTTTTTTTTTTTTTTTTTTCTAGAATAGGTAGAAAACAAACTCGGAGATACAAAAATGTGTCTCCACTAAATATGGAGCAACTGGCAAATGCAAACTGGGAGCTAAGAGGTGTCCTTGCAGACCTATTACTGCCTCCTTGGCTTTGAGGCCATTTTTAAGAGCTCTCTTGTTTCTTTGCAAGTTTAGGGGACATCTCTCTGTTGACTCATGGCTGTAAGTCTTGCAGTATTTCTGAGACTGTTAACAGAAGCCATTAAACTTAATATGAGACTGAGTGTGCTCCTCCCACCTCTGTTTACTCATCTCTCTCAAAAAAAGGGTATCATTGAATTCACTGTTCTGCTTTCTATTATTCTGCAGATTGTATGCTGACAATTTTATTATTTTCCTCTCTCACAAATAGTAAAATATTATGAATCTTTCTACTGTTCATTATAGCTTGCAATTCCCATGTTACAAAAACAATACATACCTTCTCTGACAGGCTTACAGTTCAACTTCTGTCAGAGGCTTTTTGGTAGGTACCTCCCACAACATACCATAAAAGCCAACTTTGCACTTAAAGTGTATTGAAGTACTCTTGAAAGTTTCCCCATGAATTAGACTTTGTGGTTTAGATCCTTAAAGAGGGACAAGCTAGGTGTAATGGGGACTGTGGATGGCATAGCAAATTCCATTGGCATTGGAGTTTTATAGGAAAAGGCAGACAACTAAAACACTGATGTGTTAGTAAACCTTTTCAACAAATCTGTCATATGAGAGTAGCACTATACAACTTTCCCATAGTCAAAATTAGAGAAACAGATTAAATTTGTGGATGATCAAAGCCAGGAAAACTTGTCAATACAGAGGAGGTTCAGGATATCCTGTTGCAAGAGCTTGCAAGATATTTGAGATAAGGTGAACAAAGCAATCCCTTAATACCTTCAAGCATGAAGCTGAGTGACCCACCCTACACCCACTAGGCATTCTGTAAGATAATGGCAGAGCTGGAGTAAGTACAATATAGTGCTTGTTGTTCATTCTGGACCACACTGTTGTGGGGTTTTTTTCCTGCAAATTTTTATTTTCATATATTAAATTAAAGCATTAATTCATATTAAATCACAGGTTATAGACTTCATGTACTATGTTGAAATAATACATTTTCCTGTTGCTCTAAGAAAAGAGACGAGTACAAATATTTTATGCATTTTTTTCACCTGCAATGGTGAATCTTTCTCCGCAGAGAAGGTGCAGAAGGAGTTGGATGCTGTTTTGGGTCCTTCCCAGTTAGTTAGCTATGAAGATCGCAGAAAACTGCCCTACACAAACGCTGTGGTCCACGAGATCCAGCGTTTCAGTAACATTGTCTCTGTTGGCATGCCCCTAATATGTGTGAGGAACACCACATTGTTAGGATTCCCTGTCAAAAAGGTACAAGTCTCTGTTCTTTCTTCAGCACAGAGATGTTTATATTTTATTCCAGTTTTGTAACCCAGTTTCCATCTGTAAGTTGTTCTCCATATAACGCAGGAATGTGGTGCCTGGGGAAGAGTTACCGTTTGCGGCTCCATGATTGAAATAAGTCTCTTGCTCAGCATCTTGATGCTCAGGCAGCTGATAAGACCCCTGCCCCTGCCACGGATACCTTGAGCTCCTGCCTTGCTGATCCACAGCACAACTGGAGAGAACAGCCAGGGTTGGTGAAGGTTTCACTCTATTCTGTCTGCTTCTGACAGCCAGGTGGCTAAGGCACACAAACTGGTCTGCTGGGAGCATCTAGTAAAGAAAAAGCCTGAGGTACTATTGCTAAAAGGGCTGAGATGTTGTCAATGAAGTATTGTGGATATTTCTGGATGCATTTCTCTCTCTTTGAAGCCTGAAGGACATTTCCAATGGTGGCACCTGAATATCAACAAAAGGGTCCTACTAGGAGTGTTATTAAGAGTAGTAATAAAAGTGGTCACAATGCAGTTGTACCAACATTACTAGTGCTGTTAACACCCACTGGCATAGCTCCAGGGCTGAAAATCAATAATTTCCAACTCAGAAAATGATCACAAACTCCAGTTTTCTAGGGAAATGGTCTTCTAACCACATAATATCTGCTCATTATAAAGGTAAGGCAACAAGAAGCAGTTTTATCTGCCAGGCAGAAACTGATGGGTGAGAGGCTAGTAGCTGGAACTGAATCAACAGTTTTTTCCTTGCAGGGTACTATCATTATGCCAAATATAGCATCTGTTCTGTATGACCCTGTACAATGGGAGACACCTCAACAGTTCAACCCTGGCCATTTTCTGGATAAAGAAGGAAACTTCATGCCTCAAGAAGGCTTCTTACCATTCTCAGCAGGTAAATGCACTGGCAGATTGAACTGACCCAACAGATTAGATGGAGAACACAGAAGTGTGAGACTATAGTATTTTTTCAGATAACTAGTTCTATCTTTACTGTTTGCTGCTTTTAAAGAAGAATACTGGCCTGTAACTGTTAAGGGAGATGCTTCTGTGCTGTCAGCCCCCAACCTGCTTTTAGGACAGTATAGTGGGAATTCGACTTGAGCTCCTGAACCTCCTAGGCTTATTGCACACTGTGCTCATCCACAAGTTTTTTGTGTAGTATTCTTAAGATGTTGGGGTTTTCTTTTCCTGAAAAGCAATGTGTTTCGTTGGTGCTGGAGTAACTTGCAATCCCTTTTAAAGGAATAAGCTGAAAGAAAAGCAGAATGCATCCTGGTAAACAAAGGATTAAGTTCTTGCTTACAGAACTGAAAATCCAGTTGCAAAAGAAGCAAATAATGTAACCGTGCACAGTTAGAAAATACACTTAGCAGTAAAGTTCCATTGGCTTTTTCTTTCATTTGTTTCATTTCTTTCATCTTTTGTCTGCTAATCTGGAAATGTGAATGTATTGTTCGCTTGTCCTGCTCATGCCATTGGTTCCAATGAGGAACTTTTGGAAATGAACATTAGACTTCTTGCTTTGCCTGTGGAGTGATCAAGCCTTTGCTCAATTGCAACTGCCATTGCTAAGTAATTTTGACATGCTGACCTTAAAAGCATGTGCAAACAGCTGCCTGATTCTTGTGTATGACCTTGAAGCTCAACATCTCCTGTAAAAGGAAAATAATTTTCTGCCAAGTCAAGCAAGAAATTATGATGATGATGCCTTAGGGATTTTCACTGAGATTTTCATTTGGTGTCTTAACCTATGACATTGGATGGGATCTTTCTGAGAAAGAATTCATAATGTTTTAGTTCTGTAGCTTTCATGATCCTGGCCTCGAACAAAAAAAAAGCCCTCTGCTTATAACAAGAATGAACAAAGTGATTATGAAACAAAAAAATTCCTAGATACTCATTGTCCTTCCCTGGCTCCTTCTGCAGGGCACCATGTGTGTTTGGGGGAGCATCTAGCAAGGACCGAGCTCTTCATTTCTTTGCCAACCTGCTGCGGGCCTTCACCTTCTGGCTGCCAGAGGGAGTGACAGAGATCAGCATGGAGCCCATTCTGGGGGGCACACTGCAGCCCCACCCCTACAGGCTCTGCCATTCCATGCTAGGCTGCAGCAGATCACAGACCAGCAGGAGGCAGCTGCCTGTACTTCAGTGAATTTCCTCGCAAATGTATAAGCCTGCTTCTTCTATCCAGGACACCGATACTAATCTATCCCAGGGCTATTCAGAAAGCAGATGCAAGCCCAGATCCAGACGTCCAGTACTTTTGGTCTGGTCCTTGTTAAAGTCCCAGGTATTCTCCCAAGGATCTTAATCATGTTCTCCTCTTGGACAGCATGTAAAGCAAGACATGGGGGTTCCCAGCTGAAGCCAACGTGCTGTGTTGCCTCGTCCTAGCCCAGCAGAATGGCCATGATGCTATTCCTGAGCAAACCTCAGTAAAATCCAGCAGAGGATCTCAGCAAGAGCCAAATTGGTGTAATTGCTATGAATGGTTTGATGACCTCAAATTATTTGGCTCTGGAAAACACACTTTTAAAGCCCTGTTTTGCTTTTACTGTCCTGACCTTAGACACTTTAATTTGCTGACAGGTTGCAAATAAAAAAAATACATTAGAATGAGAGTGCATTAAGTTTGAATTTGATGTAGGTATGTCCCATATCGAAGATAAAGGGATTCAATCTAAAGCTGAAGAAAGAAACTTAAATTTGGGGTTTTCTAGCAATGTGAATGTGTGACTTAGCAGCCTGATTGTTGCTATAAAGTATTGCCAGGTGGTTGGTTGGTTTATTGTTTTGGATTTTTAAAAATGAATTTTCTGTGATGTAGAATCATGCCCAGTATCAATCCTACTTGGACTAGGCAGAAATATGGGATGAGATAATCACTTTGTCAGTGGGTTTCACTGCTTACTTTGCAGCAGAGGAGTGTAGAGACTTTGGAAAGCAGCACTAGTGGCTATCTTAACAACCAAATGTTCCCCATTTTCTCCGCACCCCTTTTTTCCTCCATTACAACTCATAATGTACTTCCTGCACTCCATTAAATCTCTTTCCAGTCCGTCTCCAGTTTCAGTTCCTACTCCCACCTACCCTTTATCCATATAAACCCGGTTTCAGGATTCACCTTCCCCTTTGGTTTCCCACCACTCACATCTTTTCATCCTATCAAGCTTCTGTCTCCTCTGACCCTTTTATGCACAAGTATTAGTACAGGAATCAGTGCTGAGCTGAAAACAATTACCAGTGTGTTTTCAGGAGGGAGCTTGGAAGATGTGATTTATTTGTACTTAAAAGAGGTTCCAGACCAAGAGAAGAACACAGTAACTGCTACAGAGGAGGTTCCACCAAGAGAAGAACACAGTAACTGCTACAGAGGGCGCTCTGGCGGTAACTCAGTTGAAGAAAAGACAGGATGACTCGATGCAGAAATTCTCGAATACCTACCACTTAATGTAGCTGCTCTCTGACACTGATTCAATTTCAGGCTGAGATAGTTTAGAAATGCAGCTGGAGGTGACAGCCAAGTTTCAGCTGTAGCTTTTTTAAAGAAAAGTGCTTCAGTACTCCTGAATGCAAATCCCTTTTGGAAAGGTTTCAAATGTTGGAGTTGAGTAGAGCTGTCTGTAAACACTGCCATAAACTTAGGGCTGAATTTGTATGAGGACCAAAAGTGCTTTTAATGTTGGAATATAAACTATTTATAATTAAATCACTGTGGAACATCTGAACTTCCTGAATTTCAAATGGAGGAGAACATGACTAATAAGAAGTGAGCACTATTAAAGGTGAGGCTGAGTTGGGCCAGAGCCTGGCATGCCTTGTAGCTCTGGCAATGGTCTGCTCCAGCAGTGCAGGCTGACTGGGCTGGAAGGGGAATCAGGCCAGTAAGGGGTTTCACAACAGCAATAGCTTTCATAAATAATTCAACTGGTTACTCCACACAACATAATAAATCCTGCTCCAGGACCTACACACTTCTGCTCAGCCTCCTTTCCAACTTTATCTGTACTTGTCCTACACCCTATACTCCCACACCTGCTCCTCTCCATTAACCCTGCTAGAGATGATGTCTCTCACTGCCTTCGCCCTCTCCTCTTGTCATCTTGCCATTCACTGAAGAAGCTTAATTATATGAATCACAGAATTACCTAACCTCAGTTGGAAAAGACCTTCAAGATCTTGTGCAAAACCTTTATACAAGTTTGGTATATTTTGCATCCATCCAGGGATTAAAAGCAAGAGTTGATGCTTCTTCCCTTCTGTTCAAACAAACTGGTAGCCTGGTCTGTGGCAGAGGCTTGGGGTAAACTATTATTGGTTCTCCAGTGTATGAAACAAGTGAATCACCAGCGTGTTGTGGGGTAACCTAACATTTATGGGATTAAATTTAGAAAACTACTGTCCATAGACACCAGCACAGCACATCTAGAGAAACCACTCCTGTACTTTTGAGGAGGTCTAGAAAACCCTGAACAGACAGGCAACAGAAAAGGAAATGTTCACATTCTTCCCAATGGAAGGGCTGGCAGGTGTCAAATGCAACAAAGAGGGAGATTGATGAGAAGAACCAGAGGGAATTGCACTGTATATGCCATGTTGATAAGTTATTCCTCATTACAGGACATTGAGCTAAACATTTATTTCTATTAAAAAGCAACTGGATACATTTTGAGCAGGAAAATTTATTTTGGGATGTTTCATGTTTCTGGTTTGTCCTGTTATTACAAACTTTCCTAAGGCATCTCCTATCATGTGCTGTCAGAAATGGAACATGAGACTAGCTGAACTGTCATCTGACACAGCTGTGCTCAAGTTTTATGTTTTATGGCACTTACTCAGAATTAAGATAGTTCAATATTTATCTTATTTCAATTTGAACATTTATTGTCACAACCTTATATTTTACAGTTGAACAAGTTGCTCTTATTTTCAGACAGTGCCTTGACCAACTGTGTGATGAGACACGACTTGTGAGACTAGAAAAAGATGCTCATCCAAGAAACTTGTAACCCTGGAGTAGGAGCCAAAATTCACTTAATGTTTTTCATTTGCCTTTGATTAAAAGTCTTGCTGCTGGCTCTTCTCAAAGCCTGATTTATTCATTTGCCAGATGTCTTCAGGTGAGAAAAAAGAAATTGTGAACAGTAGATCAGATTTTCTTCAGTAGCAGAATTAAATTTCTGGTTAAAAACCAAAGGGATAATATGCTGATTGAGTTAACATTACTCTTTATTTAATGCATTGTTAAGGAGCCATGTGTCATTAGATGTGAGATCCGCATTCAGGTCCATGCTGTCAGCGCACCCTTGAACTGGGAACTGTGGGAAAACCAAGGTGATGAAATTCATCCCCATAGAATCTTCATGCTGTAAATGTCAGCATCTGCTCACTTATTTTTTTTAATCTTCAACCTCCATTGTATTCCCCATTGTGAAATGCTACATTAATTACGTTTGCAGCTGAATTAGATTGAAAGAAACAACAAACATCAGTGTCGTGCAAGAAGAGATTTATGGACATTTGGAGACAGTTGAGTTTCAACATGAGAAAAATACAGTTAATGTACGTGCAAAATTTACTCCAAACTCAAATATTCAGAAGATGAGAGAGAGAAGGAAAGGTCTAGGTGGATATGCAGAAACACACTGCAGAATAAAGCAAGGGTATCCTTTTGAGAGTAGGACTGTATAAGGAATATCTGGTTTACTTCTGGGTGTCTGTTACAGCTAATGATACAGGCCAGATAGATCAGATGAGCCTCAACACATAGTGATTAGAGGACAAGGAATGGCAAATATGGAACCTGAAGAATGGCTTTGCCACTTGATTTCTCCTTGTTCCAGACATTCACAGGCAATAAAGCAATGACTTTTTAAAAACACAGCAGATATGAGCCTATTTTTTAGTCCAAATCAAAAGGTTTTCAAATTTTTCTCTCTCCACGTACATGGAATAAAATTTCCATTTAAAACAGCTTTTATAATTTCCCCCTCTGGGGAAGAGGCAAGTTCCAGTAGAAGCTGAGAGACTACAGTGCACTAGGTGAGAAACAGCTGATGGAAAAGTGTCTTATACTGAAAAATTTCAGCCCAGCAGCCCCTGCCCTGCTGAAGGGTCCAGAAGAGGAAAATTACGAGTGTAGAGAAGTGGTGGGAAGAAGAAAAGACTCTCTCCTACTGTTGAAGAGGTTCAGGTTTCTTCCTGGTCAGTATTGAGGACAAACAGGGAGCATTTAGCAGTTCCAGTTTTTCTTTCCCAGTCTAGCACTGTGAGCTGTGATGAGCAAAGACCAGCGCTTCTACCCACCACTCAGGCTTCAGGCTGTGTTGGTTTCAGATGGCAAACACAGCCAACACAAACACATGGAGGAAGTTACACAATTATGTATTTAAAGTAGGTACCAGATAAATTATCAAATAATCAACAGATGTAAATAGAGTATTGTATGTGGAATAATGCTGTATCTGTAGCTTACTCTTGAGAAAATATAAGTCACTGCCAGAGTCAATGGAAAAAAGTGTGGATTTAGGGGAGCCTTTTGAGCCTGAGAGGGAATGAAAATGGAGTGTTTGTGACTCAGCCAAACCCAGTTAAGAAAGCAGAATTTTCACCCTCAGGGAACAATTAAGTCAGTTTGAAAACCTTTATTGTTTATTGTTGCAAGCACATGCAGCCTAAAGGTGAGATTTTCAAGTTCAACTGAAGTTGCAGAGGTAAAGTGGAATGATATTTAGCAGTACTGAACTTCCAAAGAAATCTGTGATGCTCCATAAAATAAACATGGATTTATTTAAGTCCCTCTCGTTAAAAAATATCACCTTAAATTATGCTGACTACCCTACTTTTATTTTGCTGTGTTTGGTTGTAACCTAAACAGTGATTAGTACATTCCATTAAGGACTCACTCTTCTCCAGGCCACTTTTATTATATAAGTCCTTATTATAATAATATCTATTGTATATGACCCTAAGACTTTTTACTCTTCAGTGTGACCTCACGAGTAAGAAATCCTCTCCTGAATGAGGCCAAAGGAAAGAGACAACTTAAGGATATCAGGGAGCAACCTGGATCCTCAAACTGCTAAAGGAGGGGGAAATGGCTGGCAATTTTGGCATTCAACAAGGTAAGTGTTTTGTCTTCGAGGACATGAT